CACTCCTCTCTCGCCGCTGGAACCTTTCGCGTTTTTTTTTGGGGGGGGGGGGCGGGGGGTTGGGGGGGTGCAGAGCAACAACTGCAAAGACGCGACCTGATCATTTACACTGTTTTTAGCATGCATATTAGGGATGTTCCATACCGCTTTTTTCATACAAATACCGATAAATGTACTCGTTTTCACCGATACCAAGTACTCGATACCACTTTTGATACAAATCAAATTTCTCTTAAATCAAGGATAGATCATTGCCAAGGAAAATCTTGAATTTATTTTTGACAAAAAGGCAAAATAGTCACTCTTTTCATGAGGGGAGAAATAGATGCAGGTCATTGACTGACTGGTATCGGTGACTGGTATCAGAGGCCTTGCAACTACTCCAAAATACTCAATCTGCCGATCAGTGGCCAGCATGTGCCTGTGTGTGTTTGTGTGAAGGTTCTGAGAGCTTGAATCACTTGTTGAATTTGATCCATACTTGAAAACTTAAAATACGGCTGGCATGGGCCCAATACCATTACCTGGTATGTGTACTTGGTCATCCCTAATAAAAAGACATACTCTGTCAATGTGTCATGCTTCTAAACTTCTCTCCCTCATAATCGACGTGACAACCCGAGATGCACTGCCTAATCGTTATCTTCTACTCAAAAACTGTACTAAGCCCAAATCTAGAGCCGTGAAACAGCACCATCTACTGGCGTCTGTTTGTCATGATAGTGACTTGAAAAATGCACTTCACCAGGAATGCACGGCATGCTGGGTAATGGACTACGAGCTGCCCTGCCCTGCCATGATCATCATCCCAGGTGTCAAAACTGTCTGAAATGTGGACCAAAATTGCAAATGAAGCCACTGGAGCAAGCAAATTTTCAAGTACAGAAATGAAAGAGGAGGAGGCAGATCCGCTGGGTGGTCTTTTTGGGTGTAATCCCACTGTAAACCACAAGATGGGGCCACAATATGTTGTTTGGACACCAGATTTGAAAAAAGAAGAATTAAAACACGAAATATTTCAAATGCATCCTAAATTCGGTTATGGGTTGAATCCTATGTAATCCTGCTTTTTATGCCCACAGAAAGTATCATTTTTAGAATGTTCATCTTGGAGCCATG